AAATCGTCTTCTATGTACACCAATTTTTCTGGTTTACATTAAAAGCACTCAAGACACAAAACAAGTCACATCCAGATTAGCCGAAATGGTTTCAGAAAATTCTGCAAAACAAAAGATCACTTAATTACCAAACCATAATAGATAGTTTTAACAAAATAAAAAAGAATGCACTGTCGTCTGTTTTCTCGATGTAGAGAAAGGTTTCGACACTGTACAGCACAATTAATTCAGGTTCCGCATGTCAGAAATGGAACTACCGCACAATATTATTTGCTGGTTGTCCAACTTCTTTGAAAATAGGAAATATAGCTAAAACGGAGGGTACCTACTCCTGAGATAGGTGTTCCCCAGGGAGGGGTGGTTAGCCATATATTATTCATCGTGTATTTCAACGATGTGTAATTAACCGATCCAAATTTCTGCTTTGATTCTAAATTCGCGGACGATGTAGCAACCTAGAAGAGTTTCCCCACACCCTCGATAGCCGCTAAAAATCTACAATCGATTAAATATCATGCTGAATACTCTAAAAAAAAATACTGAATAAAAATACAACTAGTTTTATTGTTTCCAATCAACTAAAACCAATCCGAATTATGCTTAAATGGAACCCTTCTCCAGACTTCCACATCTACAAAAGTTTCAAGTTTGACCTACGATCCAAATTTAAGATAGTCAAAGCACATAAATGAAATTCGATCTAAAATAAAATAAAAAAATACTGCCACTTAAGTTTATGACGTTCGGTATCTGCTCTCCGCTGGTTGAATAATTACATGAAGTGCACAGAAACCAAAGAAAGATTGAGTGCTCTAGTTTTAATATATAGTCATTATGACACTCCTGTTAATACTGGAACTGTGTGTAATTTATTTATAGAAAAGCACCTCAGAAAAATGGAGAATAATAACATGTTATTTCAGTAGTGCATACGTGTACATATATGATAGCTAATGATTGAAATAGCTAATATACTGTTGTTATACAAAATTCTTTAAATTAGTAATACAATTTAACAATTAATAACTACTCTGCATGTAGATAGTATAGTACTTTACTTTAGTAAAACATACGTATTTATGCTAATTTAAGTCTAGCTCCCTATGCAGGCAGTGTTACAACAGAATGATTTTTTGACTTTTTACTGGATGTTTGTGGATTTTATGTGAACAGCCACGCAATTGCTTCAGCTATATTTCATACAAAATTGCTTCCACGTTTAATCTCATAGCACCTATTTTTTTCAAATTTTATAGGGGGTGGGACATGTCCACAGAGCCCAGTAACATTAGCATGCTGATAATACTTCGCACAATATGTGTTGGTTTTTTATCTCACAAATTAGAAGTTTAGAACCCCCCTTTCAAACATTCTGCGTATGGGCCTGGTGATGTGTAGGACCTTCGCACTACCAAATAAAACGAGGTGATATAAACACATAACGATACAATTGTTTACATCCATGGGCAAGGCGTAGAAAATGTATCAGTTTGTGTGTAAGTATGGTAAAAACCCTGATCCAAAAGGGGTAATTAATCTAGCATTTTTGTGACCTAATAATAAATTAAGAAACAAATTAACAGCGAAATAATTATAAATAAGTCGTCAACGAGAGAGAAAGATGTCTCTGTTGTACCTGAACCTCCCAGATCTAAAATAGAACTTAAGTTTGTTTGTTTGAAGTTGAAGCTACACAATGGGCTATTTGTGCTCTTCCCATCACGGGTATCAAAACCCGGTTTCTAGCGTTGAAGTCCACAGACATACTGCTGTGCCACTGGAGGGCAAAATAAACCTAAAACCAGACCATGACTGCAAAATCAATCGTGTTACCTCGTGACCAGCAAAAAATATTAGTGTCAACCCTTTTAACCCGGATGCTTTAAGCTATTGCAATATCCTCTCGAGAAAAAGAGGTAATACCTACTAAAGAGAGAACAATAATAACCAATCAATTACAACAAGGTAATGTTAACGATTTTTCTAACCACTTGTTGCCTCCATTACAGCACCGAAACCAGATAATGGAAAAAAAAATTAAAAAATTGGTATAATCAAAACAGGGAGAAAACGTATACTAAGCTCACATATCACACCATTTTTACTACCATTTAGGAACTCTCGGCAGTATTTGAAAAGCTCAACACCTTTTTCAATTTTATGTCTAATCCAAGGTAAACATTTTTTACTGTATACACTGCTTTACAGTACTAGATATATCGAAGTGAAAAACCTGAAACACAGACTTTTCAGAACAAAACCTGTCTAAACCAATCCATTTATTCACTGAATCTAGTACTTATCCTTGACACCATTACTAACAAAACACTAAAATCTACGAAGCAAGCTCGAGTCTCATGCTAATAGAAGATTCTGAACGCTTATTAGGTAACGCAGATTTCATATCTAGCTCCTGATGCTAAAACATTCAGATACGCTGAATATTATTCACCTTTCTAAAACAAGAGGGAATCCTCAACAGCCGTGGTACTTGAAATTATACTATGATACCCCCCCCCCCTTTTATTAGCTACATTTTTGTGCGCCAGGAATACCAAGCGTGGGGCGCGCGTATACCCGATTCAATTTTTATTACTCATCAGGATCTTTACCAGGCTACCCTAAAACTGAAATTATTTTTGGGAGTATTAGAGTAAATTAATCTATGAGACCTTGATCGTGGTCAAATATTTCAATCGAATGGGTTTGACCTCCTGGATCTAAAATTGTAATTAGATCTCCAATCCGCCAAGAGATGACAGAGCTGTGAGCTAAAAGTTTGTGCTTGAAAAAAACAACAACAAAAAAAGGACTCAGTCCCGTTCTGTGAACTGCTATGCCCCGGCTAAAAATCAGCACCTGTCATGAGCATTATCACAACAACTCTACTAACTTGCATTGTCGGAACAATATGAGCAGAATGAAATACCTCTTTTCTCTCTCCATTCAATATAAAAAAGGAGTTGTTTGTTTGGAATTAAGTACAAAGCTACACAATGGGCTATCTGTGCTCTGCCCACCACGGGTATCGAAACCCGGTTTCTAGCGTTGTAAGTCTGCAGACATACCGCTGTGCCACTGGGGGCATATAAGAAAAGGGGGTGAAACTCAATTCAGGCTACATAACTCGCTTCTAAATATTTAATATCTACAGTTTACTCACTATGCACAACTCAAGATCCAGTTTTTTGTTTATACCCGAAAATACCAGATGCTGAATTTGTTGTCGGTTGCTTTTAGATGGTTTGGTTATGTCTTTCGCATGTTGATGAAGTCCCGATCACAGTTGAACAAAACAGCCTAACATCTGTTGTACTTCATAAGATTGTCCAACCATCTTCTGTGGCCACAGTTTTCCAAGTTGTGAATGTATTCACTGTCAGTTGCCAGTGTTGATAGACTTTAATGACAGATGTCTTTAAACAGCAAGCCAAAGAAATGGTCAAGATTGTATCAAAGGATATATATTTTTACCATTACGATTTTTTCACCACCGCACACACTCCTGCTAAAATAAACACTTTCTCATGCTCTTTTCCATTGTCTGGCAGACTAACAACTATATAACATCTCTACATTAACTAAATTCAGGCAAATACTCAAATGGAGTGTTCAACAAATATGTGTGTGTGGTGGGGGGGGAATAAATAATGTGACCAGTCAGTGTACACATTTCAGTAAGTGTTCTTGGACAAGTCTACTGGCATTGGTAAGATGTTGTATAAACTGTACACGTTTTAAAGATATATAATAAATAGTATTTCTTCCATCTATAGTTTATTTATTATTTCACGCTATCCTCACCGTGAGCTGAAAAATTTTAGTACGTGTTTTTAACCATTCGACTGAAGTTTGATGGTACATTAATCCTTGTAACATCATAAAACAGTCCCAGTTAAAATAGTCATATGTTTTAACTTTTTATTGCGTGGTATACAATATCAAATAACGTTGTTAAATTTTTATAGATATACCTCGGTCGTTAAAGCCCCCTTTTTTTTTAATTTTGCTCATCACGTAAAACTTAAAGTACTTAAGTTAAATTAGCACTAGTGCGATGTTTTTAGGCCCTACTCTAGCTTTACTTAGCTGGAGGAACCACTGGAACAAACATAGAGGTAAAAATGCCGTTGGCCCAACAAATATTATAACTGTATATCTAAAATCGTATTTAATTTTTATCTTGAACTATTTTCGCCCGAAAAAAATTAGCCTATCTTATTCACCATTCATCTGAACCTGAAATATCAAGTGCACATGGAAAAATCTAGTGCTGCTCGAAACAGAAAACTAAATATGTTAGGAAGTCTTAGTATTACGCTGCCCCATTTTATGCATATTAAAATGTTCTTCCGCTTAGTTCAACTTCAAGGTTGTAAATTATACTTAATGTCTGGTTTTACACGAACGACTTACTTAATAATACTTTATCGGTTTATGAAAATATGACTGCTTTATCACTCGTTTTTAAAATGGCCGTTGTTATTGTCACAGACAAGAAAAGCCATTGATATCGGCACGAAGTTTAATTTAGCCAGCCTGATTAACCCCAATATTTCACGTGATTAGTCACAAAATTTGACGTTAGTGATCATGGGCCGATTGATACTAGCAGTAGTTGCAATAATAGGGAAGAATATCAACATGTAGCGGAAATTTAAAACTAGTGCTGATCACTTAAAAAGAAAGGAGGAGAATTATAACAGTTCGCAAACCATATGAAATTTTCATAGACTTCCCGCCCTGTAGTTTAATTTACTGTTATCTGTGTCAGTAGCGTTATCGTGGTTTTACTTTTAATTGCCATCTTATCGGTGTCAATAGCAACTTTAAAACACAATGTTTGAAATGGTAAAGCTTGTTTCAAATAAAAATTAGCAAGTGATTAAGGTTTAAAATTTACTATAGTAATAATATGATCTTAACACGTGCATAAGTTAAATATCTCTAATTAGATATAAATCATAGTAGTATAAAATAAACATTTATTGTATACTCACTTTGAACCCATTTCGGTTTTAAATAAGCTAGGCTCCAGAAACTATAGAAATCTTATGATTTTTCTAACTAGAACGAGGAACAAAATACGAGACTTCTAAACACGTTTAGACATACAGTGGTTCAATTAACTGATGAAAACATTCTGTTTGCCTCGTCGTAAATTACACTTGCAGAGTTTTCCTTCCCCTTCACACGTGACCAGTCGCTGCGTTTTTACAGGATAAATAGTACAGTATCCAAGTAACGAGAACCTGGATTGAAATAATAGGCCACGTAAGTGTCAATAGTCAAGAAATGAAAGACAAACTTGGCCAACAGGTTTCTTGACAGATAAACATGCTAGTATCTGATGTTGTAACTCGTTTAACTAATTTTTGTTGTTGAAATATCTCAAATACACTCGGTACTTCTTTTAATGTCTATAGTCTATTTTAGCGTTTTTCATTTCTACGTTTGTGGTTGATACGACTAACCGAAGTTCGGCGTGTTCATTGCCAAGATACACGTGTATTGCCGCGTCCTTATTACTTGGTTGCACATTAATAATAATCTAACGAAAATATATATTTGTGTTTCCGATATCTATAATATACCAAAATATAAACAGTGGTTTTCAGTGCTGTTTTACCATAATGGCTAACTAAATATGTCCGATATCGTCGAACTATGCAAACATATATAAAAATAAAAATCAGTACATAAATATATTAAGTGCCGAAACTTCCTACATTTCATTGTTGTCCACCTGTCCAACCACACAAGAAAACAATCGGGAACAATGTCTATTTTTTAATTCCAAGCTACAGATATTTCATTGTGGCCAATCCTTTAATATTATCTCAAGGCACAATTCCAAGGTTATGTTATGTGTGAAATGTCAAGTTTTGAAGACTATTTTATGCTAATACTTATAAACTATCGCAAAGCACATTTCTCTTATTAATTTACAATTTATAAAGGTTAAGCTAATAGTCTAGTCACAACTTTACTTCCTGGAAAGGATTACAGTGTATTACCTAAGAATATGTCTTTCGAAGTAGATTTCAATATAAATAAATTTCATTCCAGCATAATTACTAAAGTTCAACTTAGGATTACAAAAATTGAGTAGATTGCATTATTTATCAATCGAGTATCACTATTGTTAGCGATACTTAGGTAAACTCGTACTGAGTGATAATTTAAAAATCGGTATGTGACATCACAAACTTGACTGACGTAAGACGAAAATTTCACTCGACAGAAGTATACCGAGGAAATGACTACTATCTTTTCGATGAAAACCAAGTACTTTTCACTCATTGAATCTGCAAAATTGTATGTAATATAAATCGTTTTGCTAAAATTGCATCTCTATTTATAAAAACGAATCGTAAATAAATTATGAATTATATTTTATCCAGCTGGTTAATGTCAAGTAAAACAACTTTGGTCAAAAGTTTTATTTTTTCTATAAATATTACAGTAGAGCTAATTACAAATAGATAGCAGATTTCAAAAGGCATTGATATGAAAAATATTTGAATTACATTTTTGATATTTCGTTTGTTTGTTTGTTGAATTTTGAGGAAAGCTGTTCGATGGCTATCTGCAATAGCCGTCCCTAATTTATAAGTTATATGCTAGAGCAGTGGTCGGCAACCTTTTTTGATCGCGGGTCAATTATTTTTTTATTGAAAAATTTAGCGGGTCATAGGTTGCCGACCACTGTGCTAGAGGAAAGTAGCTAAGCAACAGCACTCACTGCAAACTATTGGGCTACTCTTTATCAACGAATAGTGTGATGAACCATTACCTTTAACGCCCCCATGGCTGAAAGATTTGGTTGTTATTTAGCAGAAAGCTACACAATGAGTTATCTGTGATATTGGTGATCTTGAAGTATGATGAACAGCTTTATTCTGCTCACTGTTGAGCAAGATTAAAAATAATACAAAGTGAAATTTATAAACTTTACAGATTTGTTTTTGATTTCAAGAGTGAATGTCATGAACAATCGAAATGACACATTATGTTTATCACAAAAGGATAATTTATTTACTAAATAACTTGTTAGACAAGACTGTTATATGATGTACAATGAACAAAGAATATGCTATCCACTAATGTTCTTTAAAAGTGCATTTTAAAATAATCTGTAAATTTAATTATTTTTCTGGACTTAGCCATAATTTACCCAATACACACAGTGTTATTTGTTTTACCTATACACAGTTATTAATGCATAAAATATTTTTATTGGTATTTACACTTTTTATGTTTCCTTAGATAAGGTTAATAATTTGAATCAATACAAAATTGAGCTAATTTTTAGAAACCAAAATATAACATATTAACATGAAAATGATGAGAAACAACGAAGTGCTATAAAATTTAGAAGTTACATAATTATTTCAGAATCTACCAAGTAAATAATCACAAAAATTATTTATCCTAAAGTATGATCATAAAGAGAGTTAATTATTTAATATACTGTATATACTTTTCTAGCTAAAGAACTACAATTACTTTTATAATGCAAGTTACCTTGCAAAAATGTACCCAATGATTATATAGTAACACACAACAAAAAGACTTTTAATTGCATGAGTTATAAAAAAAAATGATTTGTTTAAACTTTATAGTCATTATGAAATTTCCATACCACTCAATAAACAGTTGGAAATTCTATTACTTGAATGTTTTTAACAATCAAACTACTGCATAAAGTAGCTAACAACCCATAAACAGATATGCCAAAAACCAGTCAAGAGAAACAGTATGTTAAAGATGCACTGCCTCACCTTGGTAACACAGCTTGTTCATAAATTTTTATTCATTGATACTAATGTAATGACCTGGAGCATTACAATTTTCTTCTGAAATAATTACATTTAACAGCATAGCTATTACGATGTTTCTCACCACTGACAGCAGAGGCAGATCCAGGATTTTTAAAAAGGGCTGATCCAAATGAATTGATAATGGAGAGTCATCCAGATATTTTGAGATCTCTGGAAGGCTAATTCCTGACACTTCCTATTGATTTGGGTCAGTTACTTCCACTTACAAATTAGTAACAAGAAATCTAATTGATCAATACCTTTTGAGATCTCTGGAAGGCTAATTCCTGACACTTCCTATTGATTTGGGTCAGTTACTTCCACTTACAAATTAGTAACAAGAAATCTAATTGATCAATACTGTTTGCTACCATCGAGAATATACTTTCCTTTAGTTCCAGAGCTGTTAAAATCAGGACCTTAAAATGACTGTTCACTAATGGGCTAGAGAGGGGATAGAAATTGTGAAAGCCATACTGACGAAAAGGGCTCCTCTGTTTTTGTGTGGAATAAAAAAAAAATCTTTAGAGCTATCTTAAACATTTTACCCATTACAGATCTCCTTTCCATCCAGGAATACAAAAATAAAGTATCCCAGAAAATGAATAAATAATCTTTCTACATTTTGGATCTCTACTTTTCTCTTTATTTTTATTTCTTTTTGCCCTGGTTATAAAAATAATACTTTCTATTACTTAAAGAAATATCTGGAGATATAAATTAATTTTGTGTATGTGATATTTTTCATTCATTATAAATAACACAAATCTATGGGTGGGATTTGGGACTAAAATATGTGTGTGAGGAAGTAGGAGGGGGGCCAATAATTTTGCTGATGCATACATTGTTATTGTTATAGAACTGGTCGTTAAAGTGATCTTCTACAATCTTTAAAGTTCATAGTACAGTTGTTTGTACTAGCATAGCACTCACTGGTTGCCAAGGTGATCAACACATTCATAAACAAAGGTTCCTGTAATTCATGAAAGACTTTTGACAGCATTCTAATGTGATTAGCACATACTGGCTTTTCCCTCCTCTGTTCTCACTCCACAAAACACTCAGAAACAGATGCAGAATAAGTGCCACAGCAAAAAGTTCCAAATATTTCTCACAAATTTGCAAGAACTAATTAGAAATTCACATGATGACATATTACTGAATGTCACTGATTTTGCTGTCTTTGAATAAAAAATTAAAAAAAAAACAACAAGTAGTGAGAGCAGAAGAAGGAAAAGCCAACCCTTATGGTGGCTCAATAACCTAGACAGTATACTTCAGCCAGTAAAAGGTGAAATTCAAATCCATTTGTCAGTCCCTCAAACTTCAAAATGCTGGTGCTCTTTCTAGAAAAGAAGTTGAAACCTTCAGATTAAGTAGAGAAATGTGTAACAAAACGAGCTGTCACATTTAGTTTACTAAAAATCTTAAACCTAACATATCATACTTCCTGTATCGTTATGAATAAAAAATAGATCAGGGAAAGGAAGTATTATGTAGTTTTCAGACTTATCAAACCAGTAAATGAAGGTATCATCATTCTCATGTAAAGAACAGAAGGTTAGAATTTCAATATACACAACTAATGTTATACAAAATACATTTTATTTGTAGGAGAATACAACTGCATTGTCATTTTACTCTTGAATAAATTTTTGGTCAACATTTTTCATAGTAAAATCTTATCTAAATAGATCAAACAACAAAAAAAGCTGTTTCTAACAAAATGATAAGATATTCAAAAGACAAAAGATATCTCAAATATGAATTTTTTCATTACTTCTAGATTGTAGAAACATTAGGTTAAGTTTAAATATTTTAATGTATATATATATACATTTTTTATTTTTGATGTTCATTAAAAATCATGGCTCACCTGCAAAAAACAGAATACAATGATGGCTGTTCATCCAGCTTTCATGTTGCCAACATTTTGTCGTTTGAGGCACCAATACTGGCTGACTTGGAGTCACTTTCTTGTCATGATTCGTAAATACTGAAGAGCATTTCTGGCTGCATTTTCTTTGGCTTCATCTGAGGATTTCCCAACTCCAAAACAAACTGCTGCTGGAAGGGATCCAAGATGAACTAGACACTGATAATTGTCTGAAAATAAATATAGGTATTATCAGATAATTTGATTCACCATTCAAAAAACAAAATAGCAGGGAGCTTACTTTTAGATAAACTTTTATGCATATGATAACATTGAGCTCAGAAAGTTATATTTTTAATTGTGATCTTAAGTGTTAATTCATTTCACATTTGACAAACTTTTTAAAATGAAAAAATTACCATACAAAATATATTAAAGATTCGAAGTTTTGAATATTCAGGGAACTAACTGAAGGCAAGGCCTTCACTTCAAGTGTAACTGTTATTCCTCAGACATTTTCATAAATTCCTTCTTATATGCAATTATACTTGTTTATGCTACTCTTTTTCTGTAATGGTCTTGAACAAGTAACTAAAAATCATCAAAATAATTACAACCAATCAAGCAGATATCACCTGGTTATGTTTGTCAGTGCTCTACCTTTTAGCACCAAATAGCAAGTTCAATAAGCACAATTTTCATGTAACAGCATACCTGAAAAAACTATCTTTAAATTGGACACAAAATTCCACCTTAAACGTAATTCATATAACAATAAATGTGTTATAAAAGTTTAATAGATTTTCATGCAAGTATAAAAAAATACTCCATTGAAATGTACACAAATATATGTATGTCAGCTGGTCAAAAAATGGGCACATATTGTACAAGTACTGAAAGAGAAATTAATGAAAGGGTGAAAATATGTTTACAATCTATGCCTTCTTACACTTACCTTTGTACTTTGAATATTTTAATTATTTATAAGGTTAAGAGCTATTTAAATATAAGTAATCATAGTTTAATTAATGCATGCATAAGTTATTTGAACAAAGAACTATCTGCAAAGACTGACTTACCATACCAAAATGCTAATGTTAATTAAAATTATTCTAAAAGTTATGAAAAAAGTAAATAATTTGGAGTAAGAAAAAGCTATCAAATGCATGCGTGCTGAAAAGATTTACATATTATTTTCTAGATTGTGACAAGTCAGATGTTTGTGCTGGGTTTCATTTTCTGTACTAACTTTAT